AGCTCCTGCAGTGCAAACAGGAAACATCTCCAACCTTGATGAACACAGCAAACTACCCTCTCTCCTTACCAGCTGATGCAGTCACTCCTTAAACTCACCATGTTTACTTCTCCTGTTTCTTTTATTAGATACTTATTTTGGAGAAAAGGGAGTTGCATGACTTGAAAGTAAGCTGTAGAAATAAGACACTTCGAAGCTAAGTACTTTATCATACATTCCCTATCAATAATATTGTCTTGTAATCATAGTACTGCTATCACACTTAGAAATATCAAATCCCATATCATGGAGTCCCCAGAACATATTAAAATTCCCCTAAGTCTCTCCAGTGTGTCTTTTATCTTTATTTTCTACAATCAAGTTTCCAGTCAAGGATCATATGTGAACTTGGTTATTCATCTCTAGTGCATCTCAATCTGTAACAGTCACCTTAACATTTATAATACCATAGATGGGCTTTTTGATGAAAGGAGGCCAATTTCATTCCATCTCTTTAATTTGCCTGTTCTTTCCTCACAAGCTCGTCCTATTCTCCATATTTCCTATATATTCAAATTTAAATGTAAGCTTATATCTTAATCAGATTGATTATTTATACAAGAATATGTAAAAGTCAAAGTTGTGGTTCTATCTTTATCATATCAGAAGATACCTAACACTGCAACATCTCATAACTGGTGATATGCCCAACTGCTTAGAGAATGGAGAGATCATTTGACCATTTCTTTGGTGATAGATTTTCCTTTTTGCAATGAACCAATTATTGTGGAACAACACTTAGGTGCCATTATACATATTTCACCTTCTATACCTATTAGTTTTAGAGCATGAAGGTGATTTTTTTTTACTTGATTTATTTAATTATTTTACTGGTAGCTACAAAACAGAGATTTTCAAATTTTATCTTTCCTCTAAAATCTGTTAGTTTTAATTCTAGAAAAAAGTTTACTCTTATTGAAAGGTATATGATTGCTACAACAATGTCTTTTATTGTTGTTTATTATTATTTTATTGTTGTTATCCTTAGTTGGTTGTTTGAATTAGTTATTCAAGAAGTTGAATAACAATTATCTATTGTTCAAAAGTTATGTCCTTAATATTTTTCTTCTTAAAGACAGTCTTAGATGGGTTAATTTTGAAATATGTGAAGAACGAGTGTCTACAGTAAATTTTCCAGAAAGATGTTATCTTTGTTATCTGAGATATTAAAACATTATTGTATAAAATTCCAGTGAAGGCCTGGAGAGATGACTCAGTGGTTAGAAGTACAAGATACTCAGAGGATCCAGGTTAAATTCCCAGTACCCAAATGACAGCTTAAAATGTTTCTAAATATAGTCCCAGGGGAGATGTATGTGCAGACAAAATTTCCATACAAATTAAGTAAAATTAATGGATAAAAATTTAAAATGATTCCAATCTGCAGCTTTCATTGGATACTTCAATCATAGTCCTTGTATAGGTCTTAGAGACAAAAACTATGCTTCTTTCTTAGTTGATTTCTAGAAAGTTAAAGCTATTTTTTTGAGGTGGATAGCACTTAGCATATGTAGAGAAGCTATTGAATATGTGGAAGAATTGTGATATGTTCTAGTGAGAACATATCTCTATGAAGAGAAATAAATCACTGTTGCCATAACAAAATCTGTAGTAGAAATAATGTCATTGAGAAATAATATATGCCTGGTTTTCCTAATGGGAAGAGACTGGACTGAACAGTATCACTGAACATACCTTCTAAAATTTAATAATGATAAAATCTTCAGAAAGTTAATGAGCTTTTTCACGTACACATATTTATTATCTATATATATTTTTTAAATTACTCAAGAATCACTAAATATTTATATTATCATAGGGAAATTTAGGGCTCTCTGGTTATTTTACAAAATTAAAAGTAGGAATTCAATGATTAATAAAAATTGTTTAAAGAAAATTACAATTAGAAATAATTAGTTATTTATTGTCTTAGTCAGGGTTACTCTTTTTTGTGTTGAAATACCATGACCAAATCAAGTTGAGGAGGAAAAGGTTTATTTAGTTGATACTTCCATGGTGCTGTTCATCAATGAAGGAAGTCAGGACAGGAACTCAAACAGGGCAGGAACCTGAAGGAAGGAGCTGAGACAGAGACCATGATGGAGGAGTGATGCTTGTTTGAACAGTCTTCTTCTTCTTCTTCTTTTTTTTTTTTTTTTAAATAAAACTCAGGACCACCAGTGCAGAAGTGGCACCACCCACAACAGACTGGGCCTTCCACCATCAATCACTAGTTAAGAGAATGCCCTACAGGCTTGCATTCAGCCTGATCTTATAGAAGCATTTTCTTACTTGATGTTCCCTCTTCTCTAATGACCATAGCTTGTGTCAAGTTGACAGTTACCTAATGCAAGTTGAGTAATTTTATGCATAATACAAAATTGTGTAAAAACATTGTCACTAAATTTTCTTATATGTTAATGCGGACTTTCAAAATTTAGGTCAATTCACTGATGAAAGAAATCATAACAGACAAATGCAGAAGTCAAAAGAACGAGATCACTTTAAGGAAGAAATTGTTTGGACTAGTTAGTTCACAGACAAAAACAAAAAACAAAAAACAAAAAGCAAAAAAACATAGCTCTCTGACATCATCTATTCTTCCTAGTAAAAAATGTAACTGAGACTGTATAATTGTTAAGAACAAAAAATTTTCCTTAGGATTCTAGAGGCTGGGAAGTCTAAAATAAAGACAATAGTAGATTACGTGTCTTGTGAAGGCTTAAGTGTCTCTGATTCCAACATAGCACAACATTGCTGGAGCTGTGCACAGCAGAAAAGATGTAAGATCTGGGTGGCTCTCTGATGACTCTTATACAATGTCCTTGATTTTATTCCCCCATTCATAAGGATGGAGAACTCACAGCCTAAACAATTTAAAGACCACTTCTTAACACCATCTTCAACTTTGTGATTTAGATTTCAACATGTAAGCCTTGGAGGAATGCACACATTCAGTCCATACACTTCTTTATGGTCTATTCTGGGTGTCTATCTTCAACAGGGATTATAAGATGTACAATTCTGATATACTGGAATCTTTAAACAGCTTCATTTTAAACATAGACCCTAAATTCTTCAATAATCTTTAAGATTGAGAAATACAAATATCAAAGCAGAGAAGAAAATATATACCTTATAGATTCTAATGAAATTAAAAAAACAAATGACTTCATAGTAAAATCCAAACTATGTATGCCATACCAAGATTATGCTCCTGCATAATTGGCAGAAGCAAGTCTATTCTGAAAGTAGGAACAAAGACAAAACTTATACAGAATACTAACAAAATTGGTTAGCTAGAAAGATGACTAAGTGGTTAAGAGCACTTGCTTTACTTCTAGGGGACCTCGGTTCTCTCCCAGACCCACATGGTAGTTCACAACTGTAGTTAGGCATGCATATATGTATATACACATATGCATGTAAAACACTCATACATAAGAAAAATATTAAAAACATTTAAATTAGATCAGAAACTACACCTCAATGTAAAAGTTTATTTCAGAAAAGTCTAAATGAGTGCTTGGATAAGTAAACTCAGCAGTGAAACAAATAGAACTTATGTAGTAGTAGTAGTAGTAGTAGTAGTAGTAGTAGTAGTAGTAGTAGTAGTAATAATAATAATAATAATAATAATAATAATAATAATAATAATAAAGCATTATGGAAATAACCAAACTAAGAGTCTAGAAAGAGACAGAGAAATTAAAATGTGATAGATGGGTTAAATAGTGGACTGGAGACAAAGAAAAAAATGAAAAAATAAGAGAAATAGATATATTCCTTAAAACTACTTCATGAAGACATGGAGACAAAAATATAAAAAGGAAATTGAGAGAAACAGAATGAAAATAAGTCTCAAATATTAACAATCAATATATACTAGGAATATAGAAAATATAAAACAGAGTTTAGAGCATAATGTATTCAGATCTCAAGTACTCATCATTTCCCAGAACCGAAGAAACACAAATACTCTCTCTCATCCAAATTGCCCCCAAATATCTGGTCATGTTATTGTTTTCTCACAAACAATGATGTGAAAATCATGTATCTGAACTCTCAATTCATTGTATAGAGATTCTGAATCTTTTGTAATTTCCTGAAGTATAGGGATGAGAGTAACATCTTTGCTATTTCTACTAAGTGTCTTTTAACCTCATTGAGTTTGTGTTAATGGCATGAGTCTTGGAGGGAGTAAGGACAGCTAAGCGAGCCTCAGGATGGGCTGTTTGCCAGAGGAACCAATCATTATCCTAGCAGTGGGAATTCTCAGACCCATCTTCTGTGTTCCACAACATGCTTGGAGATTGTGTTCCATTCCTTAAGGCCAATGACTTAAACATGCATGTCTACATATGATTCCCCCAAAGTTGTAAATAACAGGTTTCAGAAAGCATTGTTGGTGAACTCCTTTACATGGTAAGAGGATGCTTCATCTCTAACACAGTGAGAGGAAAAATTCCTGCACTGTATTAATCAGAGTTCTCCAGAGGAACAGAACTTATATAATATATATAATTCATATATATATATATGAATTTAATTGAAATGACTGTGGTCCAGCTAGTCATATAATGGCTGTCTACTAACAGACTGTCCAAGAATCCAGTAATTGTTCAGTCCAATGAGGCTAGATGTCTTGGCTGTTCTTCAGAATATGCTAGAATTCCAAAGATGTAGGCTCTAATGCTAGTGGAGGAACAGATTTGCTACCAAGAGCTAGATTATGCAAGCAGGCAAAGAGAGCAAGTTTCCTTGATGCCCTTTATATAGGCTGCCAGCAGAAGGAATGGCTCAGATTAAAGTTAGATCTTCTCACCTCAAAAGATATGGATTAGTACTTCAAGTAATTTTATTAAGGAAAAAAAAAACTCTCACAGGTGTGCCCAGCTGCTTGAGTGTATATACTCCATAGGGTTTTGTACACTTATGTGTGTGGTGCTTGTTCATTGCAGAATAAGGCACCAGATTCCCTGGAGCTGGAACTACAGATGTTTGTGAGCTGTCCACTGTCAGCACTGGGAATTGAACTCTGGTCCTCTGCAAGAACAGTAAGTACTTCCCAGACATAGATGTGACATCTCTCCAGCCCCATAAAGGTGTTGTTAATCATATGTCACTAACATAAACTAATTCCTTATGCTCTTGAAGGAATAACAATACAGATGTTATAAGCATAAGCAATTGCCATGTTGTTGATTTGGCACTGGTTTGGTGATAGTCCATATTCACTGGAAACAGAGTCGCTGTGGAAGCTGAGGGAAAATTCCTTACAGATTTTGCCTTGAGTTCTAAAAGTGACTTTCTCAATAGAGTCCCATTTTAACATTTATGAAGTTGAGAGTCACACTGTATCAGTGGGAGTCACATTGTATCACTGCAGATCCCACTATATCACAGGGATTCGTACTATATCGCTAAAAAGTCACACTGTATTATTGGGAGTCACACTATTATCACTGTGGGATACACTGTTTCATTGGAAATCACACTATTATCACTGAAGGTCATACTGTATCACTGCAAAGTCACACTGTCTCACTGCAAAGTCACACTGTATCACTGAGGTCACACTGCATTTCTGGGGGGTCACACTGTATCATTAGGGATCACACTATATCACTAGGATTCACACTATTATCACTGTGGGACATTGTATCACTGGAAATCACACTATTATCACTGGAGTTCATACTATATTACTACAGTCACACTGCATCACTGGGAGTTACACTGTATCACTTGGAGTCACACTGTATCACTGTGGGTCACACTGTACCATGGGGATCCACACTGTACCACTGAAAAGTCAGAATGTATCACTGTGGGTCACACTATATCACTAGGAGCTACACTATTACCACTGTGTGAGACTGTATCACTGGGAGTCACTGGAATTAATACTGTATCACTGTAAAGTCACATTGTGTCACTTTGAAGTCACAACTGTATCACTGGGGTAGTAGTGCCTCACTGGAACCTTGTGCAGCTCTTTCTTCTAAGAGACTTTAAAACAGATTTTGTCTTTCTAAAGAACATCTTAAAATTTGATCATTTTTCATTCTGTGTCTGAGCAGAGGCACAGTGGAAGCGACACTTATATCAGGAACTTTGGAAGGGAGACATTCATAACATTTCAGGTGGGATCAGTTACAGTGGCAGGTGTCAGTGAACCTGCCAGTCTGCTGAGTCTGGAGTAATTGTTGCTTGCCTAAGGCTTCCCTAGTTCCTTGGGTGATAGATATTGACAGGGAGGAAGAGACTTGTGAAGAATTTTCTTGCTGATTTATGGACATCCCAAATGATGCCTATGTGATTCTCCGTGTGTTTCAGGGGTGTGATGTATTTCCACGTCACAGTCTGCTTACCTTGTGTTCACAATTGTGCCACTTTCTCCCCAAAGACCAATGCATCTGAGGAGTAAGAGAGACTGATGTTCTACTCCGAGGAGGCTGCTCATAAACGATCCCTCAGAGTCACAACAGAGCATAAATGAGTGCTTTCAGGGGCCTGTGAGGGAGCAGTATCTATGGAGACTTGGTTCTTTCAGGTCTGCTTTAACTTATGCTCGCAGAGCACTGACCCGGGGACTGGCCCAGAGAAGGCTCTTCCCTGACAAAACAACAGCTTTCTTCAATCCAGGAAAAACACAGGCCACCTTTTCCTAAGAGTTCAGCAGTGAGCCTCATCAGTGTTCATTGGACATTTTAATGAAACTTAGATAATAAAAAGCATGAGTGTTTGGAGGTGGTTCAAATGGGGAATAGAATTTATTGTAGTTTTTCTGAGTGAGATCAAGCGTTTAGAATGAAAAGATACAAGGAGTGGAGGCCAGTAGAGAAGTCAAACTAGTAACACATGTAGGATCTAGTTATTAGAACACATAGGCTTTCAAAACTCTTGACAATCGGTAATAGAGCATTGACTAAATAAGGCAAAATTAGGTAATTATTCCATTTCTTATAGACTGTTCAAGTACAAACATTAGAACACTTATTCCATAGAGCTCTTGGCCTTCCCCACTGCCAACAATGGGATCATAAAGCAGAAGAGGATATGATATAGACTGAGCAGTGTTTATTAAACAAGGCTAAACAGTATCATTTGCTTCACATTTTTGGTTATACGTCTGTAAATTTTACCATTTAATTATAGACACCTCTCTGTGCTTTTACTCCTTCTTATTTTTAACCATCTTGAAATTTATGTGGGGCAAAGGCCCATGTGTGACATCAGCTGGATACTGAAGCATTACATCATAGGTTAGCGTTTCTGCCTTAGAGTCTAGTGAATATTGGTTCTCATCCTATTGAAGTCTTAGTGGAAGAGATCCTTGTACATACAGGCTTTAGCAGTGTACCGCAGCTAAAAAGTCCAGACATGAGCTTATCCTCAAGCTCAGCCACTGTCACCCAGTTTGCCAGCCACACCTTGTGCTCTGGGAGCTGGGCTCAGTTGTCATCAAAGCAGAAACTTGTGGTTACTGCCCCATGAGGATTTGGAATGCTAATACAGAAGTAATTAGTAATTTAGTTCAACTAAATTTCCACAGTTGTAGGTCTCCCAGAGAAGTGACTGAAGTATGAGGCATTTCCCTCTGTTCTTACCTAGATTTTCTTACGCTCTACTAAAGTACCTGCCGAGGTAACAGGGAAGGTCAGTGAACAACAATTATGGATGCTGAGTACTTGCCTTGTACTAACATCCTGGCACTTTCTTAATAAAATGTAATTGTAAGTAGCTTTCTGTCTCTACTGGAAGGTTTAGAATAGCTGACCTATTTTGATTTTCTGCATTCACTTTCATATAGCATTGAGTTAGCAAAGCTATGTCGTGGGTTTTGTATTTGTATTGTGTTCTCACCTCTTCATGCTCCTCTCACAGCTCAACAAGTGCTCTTGTGTCTTTTGTGTTTCTTTCCTGTTTCCTTGGACTTGGGAGCTAACCAGTGCGCATGTGTTTGAATGCTTAAGGAAGAGGAAAAGATCAAGGTCAGCACTGGATTTTAGGGTTAGACTAGGTAAAAGTTAAACTATCTAAAAACATACTGAGACTAAAAATTGAGCTAAAACAATTACCAAAGTGTTGGATTTCTGAGCCTGGGAATCTGTTTATCATGATTCAAGCCCCACTCTCCTGCAGGATACTTAGCTGGGGCATTTCTCTTTACCTGGAGATATGGAATCCTAATAATGTGGCCTGGAGGCTCTGGTGTTGCTCCCTCCCAGGAGAAGTCTAGCCTAGGTGAGAGGCACATAGACAAGGAGAAAAGCACAGTCTGAAGTTCATAGAAGACCAGGATGTTAAAAGTCCAAGACTGCCATTTACAATCCTGAGAAAATCTCAGTAATAATTAAAAACTAATATCCTAATGCCTCCTCTAAAAGGTGGCTTCAAACACATTGAAATTCTTAAAAATAACCTGAATTTATTCTTGTATCATGGTACTATACATTGAAATGCTACTACCAAAAGTAAACTTTTTTCCTGGGGAGGCTTACAAGCAAGATAATAGTTTTCAGTAAATCTTAATGGATAAACAGAATTCCAGTATAGGAGTTTCTAAGAAGAGGAATTATTCCAAGGAAAGGCATTAAACATGGCAGCTTGAAGTATTTTACCAAACAGTAGGTGATTCAAATCATCCCTGTAGCTTTCATTTTAAAAATCAAAATATATCTTTTCCTTTCTCTCTCCTCCTTCCAACCACTCTCATGCCCCCTTCTCAGATCCGTGGCTTCTTTTTCTTTAGTTAGTAATGTTACATTTGCGTACACAGATATAAATGCATAAATATATAAGTAGAACCTGTTGAGCCCATCTATTATTACATATATGTGATTTCAGGGCTGACCACTTGATATTGAATAACTAATCACCGGAAGACTAATTCTCCCTCTCACAGCTGTCATTAGTTTCCTGTAGTTCTTTGTCCTGAGATGGGGCCCTGTCAGATTTCTGTGTTCAGCATCAGCATGTCCATTGGTGTCTTACTTATGTATCCATATTATTGAGACATCACCAGTATTTCTTCCCTGTTATTTTTAGGAGAGACAACAACCTCAAAGCAGACTTTCTGGTCATCTGGCTCCCACTGAGGACCCTGAGCCTTAGATGCAAGAGTTATATTACAGAAGTACCAGATTTCTGGTACCAGACCTGTTGCCCACCTTTTTTTTCCTTTACTTGCATTTAAAAAATAAATTTTTCATTCATGTTACATACCAACCACAATTCCACTGCCCATCCCTTCTCCTGCTCCCCCTCCCACCTTTGGCCCCCATTATCCCCCCCATCCACTCCTCCAAAAGGGTAAGGCCTCCCATGAGGAGTCAACAAAGCCTGTTACATTCAGTTGAGGCAGGACTAAGCCCCTCCCCCCTTCATCAAGGTTGAGTAAGGTGTCCCACCACAGGGAATGGGCTCCAAAAAGCCAGCTCATGTACCAGGGATAGGTCGTGATCCCACTGCTAGGGACCCCTCAAACAGACCAAGCCACACAACTGACTCTCACATGCAGAGGGTCTAGTTTGGTCTCATGCAGGTTCCACAACTGTTGGTCTAGGTTTTGTGAGTTCCCATGAGCTTGGTTCAATTGCCTCTGTAGAGAGAGCAATGAAACAGATATCTTGATAGAGGGAACCATTATAGGGTTAGGTAGAAACCTGGTGCTATGGAAATTCCCAGGGATCCACAAGGATGACCCCAACTTAGACTACTAGCAATAGTGGAGAGGGTACCTGAGCTTGCCTACCCTGGTAAACAGATTGGTGAATACCCTAACTGTCATCTAAGAGCTTTGTCCAGTATCTGATGGAAGTAGATGCAGAGATCCACAGCCAAGCACCAGGCCAAGCTCCAGCAGTCCAGTCGAAGAGAGTGAAGAGGGTTTCTATGAGCAATAGGGGTCAGGATCATAATGTTTCCCATCTTTTCAGTGTACCCCAAATCCAATTTTGCGATGAATGCTTTTAAAGGATGGCCGCATCTGACTTGAGAACTCACTGTAGAAGCAGGGATAAAAGCCAGCACTGGCTGGGATGAAGCTGAA